AATTCCCGTCTGGGTACCGTTAAGCTAATGGTGTTAAAACCCCAATATCAGCCTCTAAAACAAACCCATCTCAAGAATTTGAGATGATGCACTATTAAAGGGCAGAAAAGTGTTGAAAGGGCCCATGGGAATTTTAAGACTCAATTAAAAATAAAATAAAAAGGGGTGAGTTAGAATCATACCCATAGTCACCATATATGTGCTTTATTTTAAATTTTTAAAATATGGGTGTCTGTGAGCAATATTTCCTGAATAGCTTTTGGCATGAAAGTACCACCACACACTTTGTTCAGGTCTAATGGAAAGAGCCATCTACTGGTTTCTGACGGAGTTCTGATCTTGTTTTGGTATGGGGAGAGGGCATGTTTGTGTTTTTTCACAGGATGAAAATAAAGCTCAATTGGTGCGATGTGTGAAGCAGAACGATGCTGATCCTGATGCTGCTGCTGCTGATTCAGAAAAGCCAGAGAGACCTATTGAGCCTGTGCTCCCAGTCCACCTATTTCACATCCTGCTGTGTGGGAAGGAAGAGAAATGGTGGTCACAGCCGATGATACACATCCTTCAGACTGACCTGCCACACAAGAGTTCCTGATCACTTGAAAATTTTCCTATGCTGGGTATGGCAAAGGAATTCCTGTATGTTTTGCAAAGAATATTGCTTTTGAGGGATGTCTTGGAGTGTTCCCAATACTAATTATGGGTCATGATAAACAATGTACATATTATACCAAGTTATCACTCAAGGTAAATGAGTAAATACTTCATTCCCTCAATGATTTCTTCAGTTCACGGAATTGCGAGGAGCTACTAGAACTTTGTTGTGGAGATGAGGTTATCCCATTAAAGTACAACATGACAGCGACATCACAGTACATTCTTAGCTGCTCTGGAAACCAATATTATAGTGACTGTTATCCTTTGTCCGTTGGTGGAGCCTGCTCATTTGGTCCTGGCTGCCCAGACCCGAAATGACCACAGAGAAACCATTTTAATTACATCATTGCTTGGCCTATTAGCTTGTGCATATTTCTAGCTAGCTCCTACATCTTAAATTAACTCATTTCTATTAATCTGTGTATCGTCATGTGGCTATGGCTTACCAGGCAAAGTTCGGGCGTTTGTCTCCTCTGGCCTCCCTGACTCTGCCTACCTTCTCCTCCATCTGCTTGGAATTCCTGCCTTGCCCTATTCTGCGCTGCAATAGACCCAAAGCAGCTTTTTGATTAACCAGTGGCAGTCACAGCATACAGAGGGGAATGCCACATCATTTGTCTAGAGCAGAATCTTGGGATCAAGGATTGTCAGGTGGAATTTGGTACTCTGGTACAAAATTTTCACAGACTTATATTTGAAAACTTGAGCTGCCTTGGGAAAAGTGGCAGGACAATTGAGTTCTTCAAAAGCTGTTTGCCCCCTGAAAGGAGCTGTCTTGATGTGTGTAGAAATGCCTGATGTTCTTTTGGTGAGAGAAATAAAAATCTCCTTGAACTGTTGTTTAATGTATCATGCCCTGATTGTGTTTTGACTAAGTGTACTTCTCAAGTGGATGATCATACACCCGTGTATTGGTATTAAAACAACCTTCTTCTGTTACGTTGCCAGTGCATGTAAACGACCCATGGTTTGATGACAAATGGTCGTGTCGGGCTTTGTTCTGTTTTTGTTCATAAACAAGTTTTGAAATAAACTTTGGGCTGTTTGGCTGCTTTGGCAGGAACCAGACAGACCTCCCGATTCCATTGCCTTCTATCTCAGCTTCTCTCTCCAGACTTTTGTTTGGCCTTGAGGATCCCCACTCTAGAAACCACAGCTGACTTGGCAGGAGTGTGCTCCTACATTCTAAAGGCTTCAAGGGAGCCACTAACCTTAAACTACTATGCAAAATTAGTGAGTAAACACTACTACTTATTTTTATGCTTACCAGAAAAGGGACACCTGACAGGTAAAGGATGTCTTTGGTGCTGCTTAGCAGAAAAGGAGTCGTTACTGCAACATGGGCGAGAGACAGCTGAAGGGCAAAAGTTTGTACTGGTGGAATGCAGATGTCTCTCATTTGGACGGAAAATTTTGAGGTTTAGCCAAATGTTGCTCGCTTAAATATCAAAACCTGGGTTTTGTAGGTAGGGGTGCTGGAGCCTAAATCCAGGGTCCAGTAAGCACATCATCCTTTTGAGACAGGGTCTGTTGGCTCCCTTGAAGTCAGTCTATCACCAGGCTAAACCCAAATGAATCAGAATAAAATACCACATAAGCCAGACACGTGGTGGTGTTGGGGGTGGGGGCAAAGACACCAGATAATTTGTGGTTCTTTTATGTTATGTAAAACAATATAATAGTATATTATATATTANGCCAACCAGTTTATAATTAATGTAGACCTCTTTGCATCTCTTTGTGACTGAATTACTGGGACCAGGTGGTATAGAAACCTCTCTCAGCACAAAAATACGTTGCATTCTTTTATTTTACATTTAACTCTGTGAAGCTGTGATGCTTTGCCTATCTAAAACACCTGATTTGTCTAACAAATAGCTGAACAGCCAATAGCTTGGCAGGAAAGCATGGGTGGGGCTGGTAGGCAGAGAGAAAAAATTGGAGGAGAAATCTGGAAGCAATGGAGGAGCAAGAGAAGAAGGAGGAGGAAATCAGGGATCAGCCACCCAGTTACAAAACTAACAAGGGAGAAAGAAAGGAAGGGAGGGAGGGAGGGAGGGAGGGAGGGAGGGAGGGAGGGAGGGAGAGAGACAGAGAGAGAGACAGAGAGAGAGACAGAGAGAGAGACAGAGAGAGAGACAGAGAGAGATGCCAAAGGCACAAGTTCTTGACACCTATTGTACCATGCGTAAGGTGATGCCAACATGAGCGCTGCCGAGACCTCACTTCCCTATCAAACCACGTACACGTACAGGGAGGTGACGTAAAACATTATCACTCCAAACCATGCAAATACAAACTAAAGGGGTCTCCGTTGGGTTAGTTTTCTCTAAATTCCCCAGTAGCAGAGACCAACCTGAAATATTTCACACAGCAGGAAACAGAAGCAACAGTTAAGAAAGGCATTTAGTGGGAGGTGAGGAAAAACACGCTAGCAACTGCCAGACCCGGGAATAGCTCTTGTGCGAACACTAGGAAGCCAGTTTTGCTCCAATTGAAAGCACGTCCTGTTTAAGATCAGATGCCTGAATATTCCCACTGTTGGGCAAAGCCTGACAAGGACCTAGGTTAGCCAGTAGGGGCCTCCCGATGGAACGTAGTTACAAAGCGAGTTTTTCTGTCAAGGAGGCCACTTCTGTTGGAAGATCACTAACGTAGCAACATACCACCAGGCACTCCTATGAATTGCATGTGCCTACAGACAGCTGAACAGATATTCCTAGCCACCTATCGTGCTATATTTAACTTTCACAACTTGGGACAAGAGCGCTACCCACAGCAACAGGAAGCACTGGTGAAGGACACAGTACGCAGCGTGCTGGCTGACACAGCCAACAAGCGCAGGAAATGAGAGCTCACGACAATGCTGCAGCCCTTCAGAGACAGGTGGTCGGTCCTGAAAAGGACCTTTAAGAAAGCAATCAACAGCTACACAGAAAGCAGCTCAGCCGCCGAAGCCGTAGAGGGTGCGGCCCTGGCGCTTGAGCGCGTAGACCACGTCCATGGCCGTGACGGTCTTGCGCTTGGCGTGCTCCGTGTAGGTGACGGCGTCGCGGATCACGTTCTCCAGGAACACCTTCAGCACCCCGCGGGTCTCCTCGTAGATGAGGCCGGAGATGCGCTTGACTCCTCCGCGCCGGGCCAGGCGGCGGATGGCGGGCTTGGTGATGCCCTGGATGTTGTCGCGCAGGACCTTGCGGTGGCGCTTGGCGCCGCCTTTGCCCAGGCCTTTCCCGCCCTTGCCGCGACCAGACATTGCTAAGCCAGAGAAAGAAAACCCGACTGACGACGTGCACAGGCCAGCAGGGCTCTCTTATAGGGAATGTGCGGACCGGAGTGAAAACAGGAAGCTCCAGGCGGAAGTGCCTGCGGCTGGAGGAGGGGCCCTCAGCAGCATAGGAGTCCCGCGGCCTTTTCAATTCTATTTTACTTCATTTAAAAACAAAGTCTGTATTTCACCCTCTAATGTGATTCCTGCCCAATCCTTAAACAAGAAAAATTTAGCGGTATAGGATATACATGGAAAGGAAGCAAATTCTGTTATTTACATTTACGTTTTTCCTTTTAGCCTTTTGTATGGGACGATGCTATTTAACTTGGAATACCTTTTAATGAATCAAAGTGCGAAAAAAAATCACTAATTGAGCCACGCAGCTAAAATTCTTTAAATGTTTTAGTAAGGGAATTATTTAAACTGCTGTCATTACTATTTTTCACTCTTATTTTGAGAGTTTCCTTAATGTATTTCACGTGTTAATTGCTGTGTAGAACAGGCTGGTCTCGAACTCTGAAATCTGCCTGGCTCTCTTCGCGAATGATAGTATTAAAGCACAACACATGGTTTTATACATTCTAAGTCAGACAGATTTTAAAATAATTTAAGTATGGAGAAGTAAAGCGAAATTATATTTTTGTGATAACAGATTCAGATAAATGCTGAAGAAATTTCAATTAGAAGTTTCAGGGAAATCAAATTTTCGATTTTATAATATATTTAACCTGTCCGCGGCCCCTCCCGCCCCCGGCCTCGTCCTCCGAGACCGTTTCTCTATTTCTGATTATCCTAGAACTCAGTAGACCAGCTTGTCCTCCGCGTGTCTCTGCCTCCCATGAGCTGAGATTAAAAGGGCATGTGCCACCACTGCCTTAAGTTTACATAAATCTCCTTGTCAAGGCATAAATCTCACAATGGAGGTGGAGGTAGGTGGTTTCACAGACTATTACTTGCCGAGGATATAGCCACGCAGACCTCTCCGTGACATATAAGGAAACCAAAAGCCTGACCCTAGCGTGAACTAGTGAGTCTTTAGGCATAGACCGCCAAATCCGAAACACCGAGTGCCCTACCTTCGGAAACTGTACCCTTATAGACTTTAGATAGGAGTAAGCTTTGTGCACTGCCCTGGGAACCAGACTGGCAGGTTTCACCTCTAATCCTGTTATTATGCCCGCAACATTGGTACTTGAAAGCCACGAGACGAGTCCGGACACAAATAGGGGACCGAAAGTGTTCCAACTAATTTACTGAACCTAGTTTGCTGAGAGTATAACGGTGGTGTTTGTTTCCGCATATCTGTGTTCCACTTGATGACAAAGGTAGATGTCAAGCCTCTTTTTAGAAAATGTGGTGGCTCTGAAAAGAGCCTTAGATTTGCGTTAGAACTAAACAAAGGAAGTTATTTCCCCTTGGCCTTGTGGCTGCTCTCGGTCTTCTTGGGCAGCAGCACCGCCTGGATGTTGGGCAGGACGCCGCCCTGCGCGATCGTCACGCGGCCCAGCAGCTTGTTGAGCTCCTCGTCGTTGCGGATGGCCAGCTGCAGGTGGCGCGGGATGATGCGCGTCTTCTTGTTGTCGCGGGCCGCGTTGCCAGCCAGCTCCAGGATCTCGGCCGTCAGGTACTCCAGCACGGCCGCCAGGTACACCGGGGCGCCGGCGCCCACCCGCTCGGCGTAGTTGCCCTTGCGGAGGAGGCGGTGCACGCGGCCCACGGGGAACTGCAGGCCGGCCCGGGAGGAGCGGGTCTTGGCCTTGGCGCGAGCCTTGCCGCCCTGTTTGCCACGTCCAGACATCTTGGAAACAGAACAGCTGTTAGCAACTGGGTATGCGAAAGTCGCAAGAGCTTGGGCCTTATAGTTTTCTCTGGGCGCGAAAAAGAACCCTTCCGATTGGCTGCCTTTTTCTTTTCATTTAGACCAATGGGAAGCATGCGTGTCATCGCGTATTTCTATTGGACAATGCTTACCATGACGTCTCCCATATATTACCCAATTAGACGTGTGCTTTTCTAATCCTCATTTGAATAACGTCCCATAAAAAAGGAGGCCCCGGCCCAGTCGCCGTTGCAGTTTTGCTAGACTGTGTCGCCATGCCTGAGCCTGTGAAGTCCGCGCCCGCCCCGAAGAAGGGCTCCAAGAAGGCCGTGACCAAGGCGCAGAAGAAGGACGGCAAGAAGCGCAAGCGCAGCCGCAAGGAGAGCTACTCGGTGTACGTGTACAAGGTGCTGAAGCAGGTCCACCCCGACACCGGCATCTCTTCCAAGGCCATGGGCATCATGAACTCGTTCGTCAACGACATCTTCGAGCGCATCGCGGGCGAGGCGTCGCGCCTGGCGCATTACAACAAGCGCTCGACCATCACGTCCCGGGAGATCCAGACGGCCGTGCGCCTGCTGCTGCCCGGGGAGCTGGCCAAGCACGCCGTGTCCGAGGGCACCAAGGCCGTCACCAAGTACACCAGCTCCAAGTGAGCGTTCCAACCTCGCTCTTAACCCAAAGGCTCTTTTCAGAGCCACCTACACTTTCACCGAAAAAAGTTGTTGCACTCGCGTCTTTTGTCGCGGACGTAGGGACAAGTCCTTATTTCTTTCAGCATTCAGCCTGTATCCTGCATAAACCCTCGGCCTTTTTTACCTTTCCAAAAAATGAATGAAAACGAATAAGGCAACGGCGGCAGGTAAGTTCCTGGTCGTCCGTTCCTTACTAGGCCTATGTTCAAAACTTGTTGGCACGGGCGGTGGTGGCGCACGCCTTTAATCCCAGCACTGGGAGGCAGAGGCAGGCGGATCACTGAGTTAGAGACCAGCCTGGTCTACAGAGCTAGTTCCAGGACAGGCTCCAAAACCCCAGAGAAACCCTGTCTCGAAAAAAACAAAAACAAAACAACAACAAAAAAAACCTTGTAGGCTAACCTAAAGAGGATTGTAGGCCAGCGAGTTAAGGCAATTACGCTCTTTTTCCTTTTAAGGTTTTGTTTTTGTGACGGAGTATCAAACAACTCGTGAGCATTAAATGAATACTGTTTTTTAACCAGGGAATATTGTGGGGCGATTGGGTTCCGACCTTTAAGAAATCCTCTATAATCACCATGTTCATTTCCTGTTTTTCAGGACAGGGTTTCTTTCTGTAAACGCTACTGTCCTGGAACTTGCTCTGTATGACAGGCTGCCCTCGAACTAAAGGCACCCGCCTCTGCCTTTTGGTTGCTATGATTCAGGGTGTGTGCCTTCGTAAGTTCCTGGTCTTCCGTTTGTTAGTTTGTATTTTAATCTCCGATTCTGGGGTCAGTGATTTGGACTGAAATATGGGAGGTTTGCAGATTTAGGTGGAAAGAGGCTTGAGCTCACATCCGATCTGCCCACACAGATCTGGCAAGGCAACTGATGTTGATTGTACTGGGATGCTCAGGACAACCCACCGCTACAGAGTCACATTTGCCATCTAATAGCTCAAGTTTGGAAAAACGCGTTCCCAGGACATCCAGTTGGCAGGTGTGAAGCTTCATTTCAGAATAAGAGCATGTATGTCTGAGTGGAAGGCACAGCTGAGCAAGGATTTTACTGCCCAACAGGATTCCCCAGAAAACTTGACCAAACGTTCGCCAACAATAGGAGGGCCTCGGGATCATTCTGCGTGGCAACAATTGCTCTTGGCACCGCAGGACTTCAGTCTCTGACTTTCTTGCCTTGCAAAATGTGAAATGTCAATTTTATGCTCCAGAGAGGCAAAGCACCCATGTATTATCAACACCGGCCTCGAGAGGGCAGTAGAGCTTCATGGAAAACGATCTTTAACATCTCTGCAGTCAGCGGTATCTCAGGGATGAGTTGGTTCCCCAGGAAAATCTCGGTGGGAAGAGGAACCTGTTAGCCAGGTAATGATGAGTGGTCTGATCTTAGAATCCAGGGATCTGAGTGCAAATCTTGGTGGGATTATCTAGGTTTTCATTATTGAGTAGTGTTATTTCTTGAAACTTACTTGTCCCCCAGTATTAAACAACCCCTAAACCTCACCACACAGTTTCACAAGCAGGCCCACAGCCTGAAATTAATACTGCAGGGAGCCTCCTCAATTGCTGGCAACCATGCTTTGGTCTGAGTGAGGAAGGGCACATTCTTGTCTCCTCCCTGGAGTGCCCACATTTCTTTGCCTGTTCATTGTTCACAGAGAACTGAACACTTTTTATGTGCTGGGGTGTGATGCTCCACACTGCAGCAGAAAACTAATGAGTGTTTTGTCCATTGAAATAACAGCATTTAAAGATGGACATGTGGCCGACACCCGGGTTGCACACGGTAGGTGGCTAAGGACCGTACAGAGTGGGGGGTTGAGCACCTCTAGGACCTCTAGCCATCTAGACCTTTCTGTCCTGGTTCCTCTGCTTCTGATGGGCCCCAACACTTCCTCTAACTACCTGGAAGTTGATCCATTTTAGTTTAGATTAATATGAATACTGGTTTTCTGTGTTCCATAAACACAATTTACAGAATGGAGTACAGTATGCATGTAGTTGTCAATATCAAGTGCATACCTAGCCTGTAATGCATATCAGGTACCTGTACGCTGAAGACCCCTTTCCAGCGCAAGTCTGAGTACCAGGCATGCAGCGCTAGTGGGAAACATGATTCCTTGCTCTACCTGACTTTCTGCTTCGGGGGGAGCGATTCCACAGATGGAGTTTCTGTTCCTTTTGTCCTGGAACTCTGTTCACCATGCTGGTCTTGAGTTTATAGAGATCCATCCAGCAACCTCTGGGATTAAAGGCGTGTGCTATCACTGCCTAACTTGGATTGTCTTTTCAAAGAGGGGCTAATTCAAGGAAGGAAAAAAAAAGAATTTAAATCGAGCTCATACTTGTAGAGAAATAAAGCTATTATACCCTACTGTCTTACCTGAATGAGCCCGTCTTTGCCATTTGATTAGTCAGAAACAAACCAATATGAAGTAAATATGCATAGAGACATAAGACCGACAACTCACAACACCTACAGATAGCAAGCTGGGGGCAATGGTGTATTTGCCATTCAGAGGCTAGCAGCTGACAACATTTCGAGTTTAATACCAGCAAGACAACGTCTCAGCTCAAAAGCTGTCAGGGCTGGAAGGCAGGCCCTCTTCTCTCTGTGTGTGGTTGCTGCTGCTGCTTTATTTGGCATTGCAGTTAGTCGGATGAAGCCCATTTCCATCTAGGAGGAGCATCTTCTTTGCCCTGGGTAAATGTTAAACTCATCTATGGACGAATGAAAAGGTGCACAGGGAAACCCATGGTGATGTTTGGCCAACTACATGGATATCTAGCTCATTGCCCTGCCAAGAAGACATGTTATATTAACCATACAACAGTTTGCTGAAGGAGAAAGAAGACAATATTTAAAAATAGGAAGAGGGCTGGAGAAATGCTCTGCTCTTGGACTCACATTTAATCCCCAGAACCCACATGATGACACACACTGCTTGTCACTCACTCCAGATTCAGGGGACAGGATGCCCTGTTTTGACTATTTGAGCTCTTGCAAGCACATGGTGCACATATGTACACTGAGGGACACAAACATACAGAAATAAAAATGAATAAAAGACATTATAAAGAAGAAAAGCCAGTGGTGGCTCATGCCAGCAGCACTGGGGACACTGAGGCAGGACTTCAAGACTACACAGCAAAAGCCTGCTTCCCCCTCCACAAAGAGGCAACAAAGACTATACTAGAGGGAGGAGGAAGAGAAATATTTTACTAACATGAAGCAAGAAAGCAGTGTAAATTTTACATGTCTGTTAATTTTGCACTTGAGATGCCTTCAAATGGTTAAAAACTGGGGCGTGCTCCTTTTCTTTGCTCAGTTTTCCTAGTCACTTTTACTCTTTTGTTTGGGAGGAGGGTTTTTGGTTCTGTTCTGACTTAAGACAGGGTCTTGCTATATATTCTAGGTTGGCCTCCAGCTCTCAGCAATCCTCCTGTCTCAGCAACCCATGCCAGAAGTACAGGCATACATCACCACACTGTGCTCACCCCAAGTCAGTACAGGGCATTAAATGCAGGGCCTCAGGAATCTAGGCAAGAACACAGACAGAATAATCCCTGCCTGCTGGGTTTGGCTGTGAGGCAGAAGTCCTCTGAAGATGGTCACTCTGGTAAAAAGATGACCGTGCCTTTTCTTTTTGCTTCTCAGTTTTTTATTTGAGACCTGACTTCCTAACTTTCTGCCTTCACCGGCCTTGTGCTGGGATTGCAGGCATTCGCCCCAGGGCTGGGTTCTATATGGTCCTAAAGATGGAGCTTCTTGCAGGTCTTCTGCCAACTGAGCTTGTAGCCCAGGCTGTCCTTAAGCTCACAGTGGTCCTCCTATCTCAGCGTCTCAAAAGCTGACATCACAGGCCTGAGCCACCTTGCCTGAACTCCCAGACTTCAAGTCACTAGCCCTTCTTCCAGTATCTATATCAGGTACCTCCCTCCTGGAAAGTTCCTTAACATCTCTGGACTGGCTCAGAAGGTAACCCTTTCACTGAAGATGTTCCTCTTCCTGGCCTCCATTAGCCATTCTGCCTTCCCAAGCCTAACCACTTTGCTAGAAATGTGTACTCTGTTTCCAAAATCCTACCTAGGTAAGGTTTTCTGGGACTGCTCCATGTAAAAGTTTCTGTACCATCCAGTGTTCTTAGTTCAGCGGGCAGATAATTGTCTTCAGTACTTTCTAGGTTACTGCAATGCATGCCTCATTCTCAGTGTCCTATGCCTGCCACCACAGGAATGTGTCCTCTGGTGAGGTGGCACAGTACCTGGAGCTGGTTCAGGCTCATCTGCCAATCTTTCATCTCAGGGAAATTTGTCTTCTGAGACTCTAACGTTAGCTTTTGTTGCTCTGATAAAACTCCATGACCCGAAGCAACGTAGGGGAGGAATGGGTTTGTTCCATCTTCTAGGTTATAGTTCGTGGTTGAGGGAAGTGGGATCTGAAATTCAAACTCGGGATGGCAGAGCCCGCTCCGAGTCAACCTGAGTACCTGGAAGGGTGCGGGAGATGGGGGAAAAGGTGGACGAAGGGAACTGAGACAGAGACACAGGATAGATTCGGGAGGGCTCTTGGCCAATAGCAAACAGCCCAGAGTTTATTTCAGAACCTGCTTCTATACTGATTAAGGACAGAAAGCAGAACAAAGAGCCATTCAGTCAGTTAACCACCTCCCTTCTCTGTCCTTGGAAGAATGAGCAAGTGGCTACTATCTATTGCTAACTGCTAGAAGCAAGCAGCTTCTTTTTTTCATCTGGATGTGCCTTTGGCTGGCAGTCAGCAGCCCGGATCTTAGTAGATAATGTGTTCTTTCTCATGGGCAAAATACTCTTTCCCATGGGCTTAATCAGAACATTCTCACAGCTCTCAAGGATACTGGAGCAGGCAGAGCAGGGAAGGCTGAACTCGAATGACTTTTAAATCTCAATGGCCTCCAGATGGAAACTGAGCCACTTGTGGGCCATCACAGACAGGCAGGCAGAAAGAAACTAAAGCAAAGACCATAGAAGGATCCTGTTTTCTGACTTACTCCAATTCTTTGTAACCAGCTTCCTTAGACAGCCTACAGCCAACTGGCCACGGTGGCAGTACCTAAAGTCAGCTTGGCTGCCCTACGCTAATGATAAATCAAGAAAATGCCCTTCAGGCCCATAGGATGGAGGCAGTTCCTCTATCGAGGTTCCCTTTTCTCAGTGGGACTGCAGTTGATGTCAAGGTGACAAAAACTAACCAGTAAACAGTGGCAGTCCCCTTTCCCAGCTCACTGTCAAAGTGGGCCCCTGCTGGGTGAATACACAGGGCTGCGACTGACAGCTTGATTCCATGGACGTTTGCAGTTCCATCGTGTGCTACTTCTTGGATGCATTTACCTTTATTCTCTGAATGCTTTTACTTCCTGCAGGGCTGAAATAAACTGAGGAATCATGGAAGGAATAAACTTCCTTCATTCACCAAAAACATGTGGGCTTTACCTATTAATGTTAATTATGTTAGGCTCAGCACCAAGGATCCAAAACTTAAAAAGATGAGAAATACCCAAAACTTCACTTCAAGGAATAAATTATTACTTTCCATGCTATGAAGATGACAGCAAACCCAATGGAAAGGGTGTTGCAGCTTACCTGAACCTCAAGTTTTGGAACTGTTAGGGAGGATAGTGTTCTAGAACCACAAGGAACAAACCTACTGATGTCCAGGTCCAGTGGAAGTGAAGAAAGGCCAGGCGCCCCTAATGAGGGCTGTGACAGACATACTGGCTTAAATAAGTCAGGTCAAAATTGCATCTAATGAATGACTGCGAAGGAGCTCGGAGAGCAGGCTCAGCAGTTGCTAGGATACCCAAGGCCGCTCATCATTAGCTCAAAAGTGAGAGCAAAGGAGCCTAGGTTCAGACAAAGGTAGGTTGGACTAAGGACTTGGTAGCACCCGAGTTGGGGCCCTCACAATATTAAGGGAACTTTCTATGCTGTGATGCAGTAGTGAGGTATGCTTCTCTTCCTTTTGCTCCTGAGACTAGTACATATCCAAATCGAAGTATTTGTCTTTTTATATCCAGGTATGAAGTGAAGGAATTTGCTAAACGCTACCCCAAATTGTGTCCTTTGCACTGCCGACTGAGGGTGTTTGAGAACCATTAAATTCAGGGTGGACTTGATTTGAATTTCCCTTAAATGAACAAAGGCAAATGTCTAAAAGTTACCACAATGTGGCTTTCTTTCAAATGTGCCCCAAGTACAGACTGTCTCAGCAGAGACTTACGATCAACTCCCTGCTCATATAGACTTGCTGCAAGTGATTTCCCAAGGGCATGCCCCAGATCCATTCCTTTCCACCAGCTTTCCACTATTTTCTTCCTCCTCCACTGAAAAAGAATATAGACTTTAAGATATCTCTGTAGTGTAGGTATTCATTCTCTTTGCTTTCACGCAATAGATGTGCACACTTTTCTTTGGTTCTCTGTTTATTGTCATCTACTTAATCGTGGCACACTCTGAGTAGAGAAGGAAAGTTTACCCTCCACAGGAATTCAGCTGAAATTCTTCTATCTTTAAACTGCAGCTGATGGAGGTGAATATAGATGAGGAAGGAGGCTTTCTTCTTAAGCCTTGCTACAGAGCAAGACTCCTCTCGTTCGCACATACACAAAATTAAGGGGGAAAAAGCCAAATAAGCGATCCCCAGGAGACCCAAACCCAAATGAAGAAACAAATGGATGCAATTGTATTACATTCTGGGACAAATAAAAACATTTATTTAATAATGTAGTAAGTAGTTCTTTCTCAGGACCATATTTTGATGGGTCTTTCAGTTTGGTTTCACCTCAGACAAGACTGAATTTATGTTGTGGCTTCAGTTTGGTCATTTTAATTTCCTCATCTTTAAAGAAAGGATGACAATAGATTTTGTCACACAATATTCTGTAGAGATTAATGGGGATGATTAGGGGAAATAGTTAGGCTTTATTAACATCTCATTAGTCAGGGGGCTGGAGAGATGGCTCAGAGGTTAAGAGCACTGCCTGTTCTTCCAAAAGTCCTGAGCAACCACATGGTTCAATTCCCAGCAACCACATGGTGGCTCACAACCATCTGTAGTGAGATCTGGCGCCCTCTTCTGGACTGTAGGAATACATGCAGACAGAATACTGAGAATACTGTATACATAATAAATTAAAGAAAAAAAGCTCATTAGGCTTAAGAGAAAGAGCATTTGAGTTTGGTTCTGACAATATTAAAATTACAGTTACTAATGGTTTAAAAAAAAAGAAAAAAAGCTCACTAGTCAGATAATAGCTGACATACATTTTTCAGAAGTAGTGTCCTAACATTTATTTGATATTCAACTAGTTTAAGCTGTTCATATACTTTATTTGCATATACCAGACTAGAGAATGTACAGAAAATGACTTTTTCCACCCAAATTTCTTTTTGAATAAACCTTCCTTAATTTAGTATTTGGTGCTCAGAAAGCTCAAACACAACTGCAAACTAAGTCACATTAAGACCCTCTTTGGTGTTTTCTCCTCCACAATCTATTTTCAATTATATCAGTAAAGTATATATTTAATATATTTATATACAAACCACACACACAAAATCTTAAAATCAAGAAATAAGTGCAATGAGGGTGAAGTAGAAGAAAATCATGTAAGTAACAAACCACTTAAGAAAACGGTAAAAAAACTTTTCTACTTTTCCAAGTGCGGGGTGGTTTTAAGACCAAGCCTGGTGATGAGGATTTTAATTTCAGCTACTCATGACATCTAAAGCAGTAAGACCCATTTAATTAGTGCTAAGTGGTGAAACCTGATGTCAAACGAAACAAAAAACCAAAACTCTGTATAAACAAAATAAAAAATGGGACCCAGTCAAGTGAAGCTGCGTTGGACTATGCCTCCTACATCTTCAGTAAACATCATCTCCTAACATGCAGAGCTCTGGGCCCTAAAACCTAACTGTAAAAGAAAAACAGATTAACTTTGAATAAAAGCTTATGTCTCAACTTTAGCAGTTATCAAGGGAATTTAAAGCACTATTACTACATCACAACACGGACAAGGCAGGGCAAATTTCCACTCTTCGTGGAATCTGAAATTTCAAAAGCAATGTTAGTGCCGCGAGTGTGTAGTTTTAGCACCATGACCGAGACAAAACTGAGCTCCTAGGCCTAAACAAGGTCAGTTACTGTTGCCAAACCAGCTCCTCTTTGAGAAAGTATGTGGCTCTGAAAAGAGCCTTTGGGTTACGAGCGAGAGGGCGCGCTCACTTGGAGCTGGTGTACTTGGTGACGGCCTTGGTGCCCTCGGACACGGCGTGCTTGGCCAGCTCCCCGGGCAGCAGCAGGCGCACGGCCGTCTGGATCTCCCGGGACGTGATGGTCGAGCGCTTGTTGTAATGCGCCAGGCGCGACGCCTCGCCCGCGATGCGCTCGAAGATGTCGTTGACGAACGAGTTCATGATGCCCATGGCCTTGGAAGAGATGCCGGTGTCGGGGTGGACCTGCTTCAGCACCTTGTACACGTACACCGAGTAGCTCTCCTTGCGGCTGCGCTTGCGCTTCTTACCGTCCTTCTTCTGGGCCTTAGTCACGGCCTTCTTGGAGCCCTTCTTCGGGGCGGGCGCGGACTTCACAGGCTCAGGCATGGCGACACAGTCTAGCAAAACTGCAACGGCGACTGGGCCGGGGCCTCCTTTTTTATGGGGCGTTATTCAAATGAGGATTAGAAAAGCACACGTCTAATTGGGTAATATATGGGAGACGTCATCGTAAGCATTGTCCAATAGAAATACGCGATGACACGCATGCTTCCCATTGGTCTAAATGAAAAGAAAAAGGCAGCCAATCGGAAGGGTTCTTTTTCGCGCCCAGAGAAAACTATAAGGCCCAAGCTCTTGCGACTTTCGCATACCCAGTTGCTAACAGCTGTTCTGTTTCCAAGATGTCAGGACGCGGCAAGCAGGGCGGCAAGGCTCGCGCCAAGGCCAAGACCCGCTCCTCCCGGGCCGGCCTGCAGTTCCCCGTGGGCCGCGTGCACCGCCTCCTCCGCAAGGGCAACTACGCCGAGCGGGTGGGCGCCGGCGCCCCGGTGTACCTGGCGGCCGTGCTGGAGTACCTGACGGCCGAGATCCTGGAGCTGGCTGGCAACGCGGCCCGCGACAACAAGAAGACGCGCATCATCCCGCGCCACCTGCAGCTGGCCATCCGCAACGACGAGGAGCTCAACAAGCTGCTGGGCCGCGTGACGATCGCGCAGGGCGGCGTCCTGCCCAACATCCAGGCGGTGCTGCTGCCCAAGAAGACCGAGAGCCACCACAAGGCCAAGGGGAAGTAACTTGACAACCATCAGAACTTTCAGAAACTTCAGACCCAAAGGCTCTTTTCAGAGCCCCCACAGTTTCAAAGAAAGAGTTGAACAAACTACAATAATGACCTCGGTCTTTTGGCGACCTCCAGTTACTAACAGTTTGAGACTATTGGTCAAATCAGTAGAGCCTCCCGGAATGTAATTAGGTAAATAAGGAAACCTAGAAAGCCAGGCGTATTTTCCCAGAACTACTAGCCAACACCAAGTATGCAGATTCAACATGGTGATAATGCTTTTTGTCTTAAAGTCTCCTAAAAATTTTGGAGGTCTTTATCCGTGCAGTTTAGATACTGGATGGACACCAAGATTCATAATTGTACCGATTATTGACAATTATGAATCTATATTCCTTTTTGCAATGTCAAACTTCACCTAGGTCTTAAGCAGCATTCTACCTGTTCAGAGTAAGCCTTTTCTTATTCCCATCCTGTTTATACACGTTTAGAATCCCCAATTGTTTTATGGAAAATGATCATTCAAGTTAAAAATCAAGTTTGAAATTAGTGCTTCACTGTGAATGTTCATTTGGAATTCAAAGCCTTAGCAATGACATAAAAACCCTCAAAATTCAATTAGGTTTTGATTTTGATGTGAATCTTTTCTGTAGAAGAAAAAAAAAACCTATCAAATTACTCACAGCCCGTGCCTTTCCAAAAATTGTTTCGGGCTCACTCTAAAAAAATTTAGGAGGCAAACAATCTGTATCTAATAAGTAATAATTATTTTGAAGGAAACTGGGTAGTACAATTTTTTTTTCTGTGCAAGATAAAAGAACAGTATTGACTTAAAGTGGAAAACCAATCGAGGGAACATATTAAAATGAACAGGGCGGGTCCTGGACAGTGATGTCAACAGAGCTACCAATAAGGTTCCCGTGCTAATTTTCCTGTGTGGGCCAATGAAAACGGGGCTCGCTCGCCTTATATATACGTACTCCGGCAACGGAGCATTAGGCTTTGCCAAAATTTCATCTTCTTTTTGTATAAGCTATGGCTCGTACTAAGCAGACCGCTCGCAAGTCCACCGGCGGCAAGGCCCCGCGCAAGCAGCTGGCCACCAAGGCCGCCCGCAAGAGCGCCCCGGCCACCGGCGGCGTGAAGAAGCCGCACCGCTACCGGCCCGGCACCGTGGCGCTGCGCGAGATCCGGCGCTACCAGAAGTCGACCGAGCTGCTGATCCGCAAGCTGCCGTTCCAGCGTCTGGTGCGCGAGATCGCGCAGGACTTCAAGACCGACCTGCGCTTCCAGAGCTCGGCCGTCATGGCGCTGCAGGAGGCCAGCGAGGCCTACCTGGTGGGTCTGTTTGAGGACACCAACCTGTGCGCCATCCACGCCAAGCGCGTCACCATCATGCCCAAGGACATCCAGCTGGCTCGCCGCATTCGCGGGGAGAGGGCTTAAATTTTCTCTGGTTGTGTTCTTCCCCAAAGGCTCTTTTCAGAGCCACCACATTTCTCACTAGAGAGGCTGATTGCACTAAGCATCCCAGGATATCAACTTGTATTGATGTAACATTGTACTACAGAATCTTCGGAAAGTAGACTTAAGTTTCCCTTAAGATTTAGTTAATAACATTCCGTGACACAGAAAGAGGCAGTTCCCCAGCGATTAAATCACTGATTTCTCTAACCCACAATTCTAGTGTTCCCAGCAGTGACACTGTAGCTCGAAACTTCCTAACTCACTAGGTTATCTGAAAGCTCATTGAATGGTACCAAGGGTGCAGAGTGTGTGTTTGAAGTAAATTAAACGAGATAGGCTGGTGCTTTGGTGGATATGCTCCATCCAGTATTTGACCGGTGCTTGTAGTGGGAAGGGGAATTGCAAGGCTTGTAGGTCCACGTTCTTGATCTGTGCAGCTGACTCACAGGTATGGAATGCGGCCTTGCAAAGGAGAAGAAAGAACTTCCTTGCACCAATGCCCAGCTTTTGGGGTCTGCAACTCTAGTTTCTACTTCCTGCTCTGTCGAAGAGGAATTCTGTCTGGTAACTAGATTTGGGAGAAAAGACGAGGGTGGGGGAATGCCAGGGACTTCTTTCTCAGGCCCTCCACTCTTTTAGTACTGATTTCTGAACCTATCTAGGAGAATAATACCAAAGTAAGCCAAGGTCACCAAAACTAGCTACCTTTCAAAATACCTCGCACAGGGTACTTAATATTTGACCCTAAGTATATTATTTAGATATAAGGATTAGTTAAAGCCAAAACAGTGAACATAGTTATTGGGAAACACTTGGTAGAAGTTTCCCTTTTCTTCAAAAGTTCATAAATGGAAGTTTCCCTAAGTTGTCGGGCCTGACATACCAGAACATCGTGCTCCCAGGAATTCCCACGAGGTTACGTTTTCCTGTGAGAAATTTACTCCTGCATTTACCATTCCACATATTAACTTCTCTTACCCTTAGGATAGCTGATAAGTTGTATGGTTGACTTTTCTGGGCTTGTTGCAAAACTTTTCTTTGTAAATAATTTTCCCTGTTAATGTCCCTTTGTCAGGTTAATTTAAAGGCCCAGGCACTGAACCTTAAAGTACAGGAAATTTTTATTATTTCAATTTTTCTGTTTTGAACTTTCATTAGAGAGAGAATCAGAGCCACGATTTCTTTTTCAGGAATTGAAATTGTGCTCCTAGGGCTCTTCCTATTTCATAGAATGCTTCTTGGTCTTAAAGTAGTTCTTGCAAGGTAAGGGGATTGTTGAACCTTTTCTGCAAGATACCAAAACCAGTCACTTACAAACTAGTAACTCCATAAGAAATACTCAACAAGGGACATGAGTGTGTATTGTTTTGTATGTGCAAACCACACTTCAAAATGTACTTAGACAAATTGCCTGGTTAAGGTTTAATGTGACTTTCCCCCCCCCCCCCCAAGAGTTCTCAACTTGTTGACACATTTTAAAGGCAATGTCACCGACACTGAAGATAAGAGGAGTAGGTGGGTGGGAGAAAACTCAGTTGCTGTGAAAGATAGGACCGGGCCAAACAGCTCGAATCTTGGGAACCAAACAGGACTCTTGCCTTTCCTGTCTTCCTGTGAGAAAACCATCCTCAGTCATTCTTCCTCTTATTTGTAAGTGTGAAGAAGAGGCGGTCTGGGTGCTTTCCACTTGCAGAGAGAGGGGACGGGAGCGAGGTCTGCACAGCACTTTCCTACCTCTGCACACTGCAAATTAATACAGAGCAAAAACCCTGCTTCTTGGATGATTTCGAAATGAAGAAAACATGGATCACTTCTCACCGGAAATGTGGCAAGTCTGAGAGAAACAAAGGGATTGAAAGCAGCACACGACTTGGGTTTGAATCCCTCTTACTGAAATATTTATATATGGAGCAGAGACAAGAAGTACGGTTGGCAATTGGCGGCAAACCGCATGTAAGCTCCAGCAACCCTGCAGCCACTGCAGGCATCCACTGTTCAGGTGTTTAGCTCCCATTAGGAAGAAAGCGCTTTGCACACCACACGTCAGAAATAACTCGATCAGAACTGAGAGTCCCAAACCCATCAGCCACGAGATTATTGTATCCTTGATGTGAGCGAAGCAGGCTGGGAGCCTGACTCCAAAGCCAGGGTGGCCCGCTAGCAGTGGGTAGCTCCAAATATGACGGGGCTGAAGAGATTTTCCCATAGGTCTCTATGAACTCTGGAGTTCCAGTGCTTTCCTGAAAATTCTGATAAAGTTCTCTGGTAAATATTGAATAAATGTTGGTGGCACAAAATGTTCCCTATCAGATAAAAAAAAAAACCTGTTTATAAAAAAGTCTGATCTTATTGTCTTTTGTATCTGGCAAATCTGACCACATTAAAAGAGAAGGGCCTGGCTAAAGCCCGTGCTAAACGCCCCTGCAAAGACCTACAAAACACACAGGATCATCACCTAGCCTGCCATCTGTCTGGCGCAGCAGGGCAGCACAAATTTCTGTATAGGCTGCTGTTTGTATGAATAATTTCGGGGTTTCTTTACACCTTGAACCGTGTAACTTTGTAACTAGTAAAGGAATGCCAATCGCTAGCCAAGTGTCCCGAGTTAAATCTCAATGCCCTCGGGGTTTGTAAACACAGGAAGTTGCTGGTTCACCATTTTGAATGTTTTCGCGCCAAACCCGCAACAGTTGCGAGAAAGGCAGTATGAACTGTAGTTTCTAACGCAGTTTCCTGGGATAGAACTGTTGGGGCCCTTCTTGCGTGCGATCAAGTGTGAGAAGTGTGGATGACTCCAGGAATTAGTAATTTCTTGTCAATTTTCCTTTCAAGGTTTTCATTAAATTTGTACCGCCAAATGGCTCCTTTTTCTAAGCAAAAAAAACCATACTTTGATATTTTTCAAAGAACTTTTTTTGTGATCATAATTCCTGGGATTTGCTAGAGTAATTGTTACGTCAAAATTGAAAATTGTACATTTAGAAGAAAATGTAGGCGACGAGTTCCCTTCTAGTACTGGGTTTCAACGCGGACCAATCCCTTGTCTGGTTCTATGATGTCAGCAGTTTGCTGTCCAATCCAGCAGCGAGAGTCGTTATATAAACGCAGGAATTTTCGAGCAGCTCATTCGTTCCATTCTCATCTCCTAAGATGGCTCGCACAAAGCAGACTGCTCGCAAGTCCACCGGCGGCAAGGCCCCGCGCAAGCAGCTGGCCACCAAGGCCGCCCGCAAGAGCGCCCCGGCCACCGGCGGCGTGAAGAAGCCGCACCGCTACCGGCCCGGCACCGTGGCACTGCGCGAGATCCGGCGCTACCAGAAGTCGACCGAGCTGCTGATCCGCAAGCTGCCGTTCCAGCGTCTGGTGCGCGAGATCGCGCAGGACTTCAAGACGGACCTGCGCTTCCAGAGCTCGGCCGTCATGGCGCTGCAGGAGGCCTGCGAGGCCTACCTGGTGGGGCTGTTTGAGGACACCAACCTGTGCGCCATCCACGCCAAGCGCGTCACCATCATGCCCAAGGACATCCAGCTGGCCCGCCGCATCCGCGGGGAGAGGGCGTAAAGTTCCTGGTTGTCTTCCTTCTGCAAAAGGCTCTTTTCAGAGCCCCTCCCTTATCACCAAAAAGTAGCTGCTAAACCTGATTCACAAGAATTTATGAACTCATGCTATTGACCTAGGCTTAACCTAGTCCCTCACCATGAGTTGCTTCACATTGAGGCTTTAATAGCTTAAAACAAGATAATGTGGTTATCTCGTGAGCACCTTAGACGTACAATTCCATTACTGTAAATCCCATCCTCTGTCCCCTTTGGAAACGTAAGCGTTTCTAATCCTTTCTGGTCCCATGTTTGCACATACGAGTATTTGCAAAAATGCAATATCAAAAGTATGTCCTTTGACTCCATCCTTTGAAAATGCTATTAGCTAATGTATAATACCGTCCACCCGTTATTCTGCATTCCAGTGTTCCCAAGATCTGGGATTTTAGTAGTTGAAATTATTGGCTTATAACTATCCTATTCATTTTTTTTTTTCCTTTCAAGCAATGCTTCACTGTAGACCAGGCTTTCCTGTAACTATTGCTAATTTTGAACTCTGGCAACCTGGCCTGTTGGTGTTTAACTAGCCTGGTGCTAGGTGAAGAAGTGAAGTTTTAAGTTTTCAAAGTAACATACCATCTTTGACATTTTTTTTCTTTAAATGATATTTTTTGTGGTTAAAGAGGTTCCTACTTTGAGAGTCATACAATTTACTATGTAAGTTTGGCTATTTTGTACACACCATTCTCAGATCATTTCTAGCAAAAATATATCTTGGCGTCTCTTGCGTCCTTGTTTATGTCTGGTATTAAGTATTGGTAAGGCAGTTTTAATTAATTTATTTTTTTTTTAGATAAATTCTCAGGAAAGTTATTGTTCAATGTTGGAATCACCTGAAGATGTAGCAACAAAAGACTGTAATCTTGCCTCAGCTGCATTTGTAGGTTTATCTGCATGCCCAGGTAAACCTGGATCAAGACTGTAACTGTCAAAAGAAACTGCATTTTTCTTTTTAAAATAAAACAACAGCATCCTTTGTTATTTTACATCTAAATCCATCTGATGATGTCAAAAATTACTAACTACAGAACTCTGCTCATCTTCCCCACCTATAGTCTCTCCCCATAAAAAGCTTCACTTTTTCCCATAGAGCAAACTTCTCCACACCTTTTCCCTTTACCTTGTTTTATTCTTCTCAAATTCTTTGAAATTTGAATATAACTGTTGGCCCCTTAACAATATTCTAATATATTTTCCTGTTTGGCACCTGAACTTGCCAAAAAAAAAAAAAAAAACACAAACAAAACCAAACCTATATTGGCATTGACTCTTTACTTAAGAGCATGCCTGTTTGCTCTGTGTTTTCAACTTCTCACTGGCAGTCTCATCCGAATGCATTTGAGGGCTGGAGGGCCACCCTCATAATTTTCTGACTATTGTAGAATTTTCCTAATGTAAATTATCTTTTGTATTTTCTGTCTTTAAATATCACCAGGAAGTGACAGTAGCCCCGTCAGATTCACATCTAATTTATTCTTACTCGGAATTAATTAGGTTAGCCCCTGAAGTCTGATTTGTTTTTGAATGTTTGAGTTACTTTTTAAAGCTTTGTGTATGAGGTTTCGCCTACCTGTATGTATATGTATATATATATATGTATATCATGTATATACACCATATCACACACACACACATATATGTTCAGTACTTACATGCCTGATATCGGAAGAATCTATAAGGAAGCCCGAGATCCCTGGGGTCAGCGTTAGACAGTTGAGTGCCCATGGGTACTGGGAAACAAATGCAGATTTGCCTGCTAATCCATTTCCACAACTCCTAAAGTCAATGATGTCTAATCTTCCTAATTAAAAAAAAAAAAACTTTCACAATTGAAAACTTGCATTCTCCATTGAAGATACCAATGTGTGGAAGGCACCAGGAGTCTGAGCCATTTCAAAGAGAAAGATCTCCCGTGGTGAATTTCTGTCTGTAGCCCATCCAGTACCTGTGTTATTTACTACAGTCTCAAACAAAGTTTGTACTCAAACCAAAACATCTAATTTTTTTTTACTCTTGCAAAAATTAAAGGCAGGACTTGTGGACAAATCCTCTTAAATAATGTTCCTTGTCTACTTCGTATAAGTTTACAACAATACTCAAGTAACTATGTGGATGCCTTCTCCTTGGTGGATTCTTCATGAACACTGGAGGGATTTTTAAAAATATCTTTGCTCAGTTGAGTGTGATTCAAAAAAGCACACACAGGTATGTGAACCCGAAGGCTGTTCTCCTTTGGAACTCCAAATTGCCAATTTCTGTGCCATTATTTTCAGCAGTAAGTAAAAATTTGGGGACTAACAAACACAATTCGGGATTGTAACCTTCAGTCGCGGCGGCCAGAGGGCGGCGGATTGGACACTCCACCAATCACAGCCCAGCTCTGCCTTATATAAGCCCGGAGCCTGAGCAAAGGAGCATTGCAAAATTTGCTCTTTGAGTTAGGTTTTCTTAACTTTGCTAGCATCTTATATTCTCGCCATGTCCGAAACTGCTCCCGCCGAGACGGCTGCACCAGCGCCTGTGGAGAAGTCTCCCGCCAAGAAGAAGACGACAAAAAAGGCTGGCGCTGCTAAGCGCAAGGCCACCGGCCCGCCGGTGTCCGAGCTCATAACTAAGGCTGTGTCTGCTTCCAAGGAGCGCAGCGGCGTGTCCCTGGCCGCGCTCAAGAAGGCTCTGGCTGCCGGTGGCTACGATGTGGAGAAGAACAACAGCCGCATCAAGCTGGGGCTCAAGAGCCTGGTGAGCAAGGGCACCCTGGTGCAGACCAAGGGCACCGGCGCCTCCGGCTCCTTCAAGCTCAACAAGAAGGCGGCTGCCGGGGAGGCCAAGCCCAAAGCCAAGAAGGCCGGGGCTGCCAAGGCCAAGAAACCTGCAGGCACCACCCCGAAAAAGCCCAAGAAGGCTGCGGGGGCCAAGAAGACCGTGAAGAAAACTCCAAAGAAAGCAAAGAAGCCTGCGGCGGCTGGAGTAAAGAAAGTGGCCAAGAGCCCTAGGAAGGCCAAGGCTGCAGCTAAGCCTAAAAAGGCAGCTAAGAGCCCGGCGAAGCCCAAGGCTGTGAAGCCAAAAGCAGCTAAGCCTAAAGTTGCCAAGCCAAAGACAGCTAAGCCTAAAGCTGCTAAGGCGAAGAAGGCTGTTTCCAAAAAGAAGTAGGTTTGCTTCTGACAGCACCAAAGCCCCAAAGGCTCTTTTCAGAGCCACCCAGAGAGCTCGGTGAATGTAGCTGTACACTGTTTTTAAATGGTCTGGTCTTTGTTGAGTCGAGGCATCTGGCCGCAATTGTTGGCTCAACCGCTAACGTTAGAAATACTGGCAGAGATGAAGTGATAAATACTTACACCGTTCAGGTACTGACGGCTACTTGGTTAAACTTTCTGGGGAGTGGGCGGCAATGTGCACACCACGGATGGTGTTCCCACTTCCCCCACCCCCCCACTTGTCCCTAAGCTTGCACCAAGTCTGTGAAAACATTGTTAGGAATGCAGTTTTCCACAGTTAACATGTATTGCAGGTGAAGCTTTCACAATTTAAAGTAACGCTGGGCGCGAAAAGAGACAAGAGTTTATTGGCTGAAGATAACAATCTAAGCCAAACCGCATCATGGTTTTCTTCTAATCTTAACTTGATTGGACAGTTAGTCTGTGACGTTTGCAGATACATGTTACTTGTTTAAATTGCCAATGCGATTTGAACACTTTTTTTTTTTTTTTTTAAAGTTCCCGTTCTTCGCAGTACTTCAGCCCGCGAAGTCCGCGCCCGATTGGAAGTCATTCCCTATGAAGGCGGTGACCAGGTCGCAGGACTTTAGAAGCCAGCCCCAAGGAGAGTTACTCATTGCAGGTTTACACGTGCTGAAGGAGCTACACCCAGTACCGGCATCTCTTCCAACGCCCCATGCCAAACACGCCGCGTCCGACTGCAGCAAAACTGTCCAAGTCATTTACACTTTTTTTTTTCTTTTTCTTTTTGAGACAATGTATGACAGCCTTGACTGTCCCGACCTAGTTCCGTAGAGGAGACTGACCTCGAACTCAGATCAGTCCGCTTCTGCCCCGGAGTGATGGGATTAAAGGCGGAGTGACGGGATTAAAGGCGTGCACCACCACCACCACCCGGTCCTCATTTACACATTTTATGCAATGGTACTGGGCTCTGCCATTGGTGGTACACAGACATTGAAGTTCCTTGAGAACAGTCCTTTTGTTGTTTTAAAAGTTTAATAATGTGGCTGGTGTGACCCCAAAACTGGCGTTTTGTCTTATTTATTTAACATTAGGTCGGTTTTAGGCGTTAGAGATTGTGTGTTTTCAGTTTTAAGGCTGGATTGCTGTCAACATTTCAGTGACCCATTGTTAACTGTTTCAGGCTTCCCACCTGGGAGGGCAGTCAAGAATGCTTAAGTAAATAGTCTTTAAGGGAACGACTTTCAAGTCACGTTTTCTTTAGCAATGTAAGTATTGGGAATGCGGATTCTTGGTCGCTGCAGGCTTAATCTCCGCGAAATGCCTGAATGTTCACGAAGAAGTTAAATTATACTCAGTCAAGGCCTCCCACAGTAGGAATTAGAATTGGCTTTCAGTGTAAACACTATGCTGGCAATTCGAATTTTTCTGTTGATTTGTATATCTGATCTATACAGAGCAAAGTAACTGGAATTTCTGTTGTCATGTTTTCTTCCTTCCTTCCTTCCTTCCTTCCTTCCTTCCTTCATTTCTTTATTATTTATTTACTTTTTTCGAGACAGGGTTTCTCTGTGGCTTTGGAGCCTGTCCTGGAACTAGTTCTTGTAGGCCAGGCTGGCCTCGAACTCACAGAGATCCGCCTGCCTCTGTCTCCCGAGTGCTGACCATACTTTTTAATGAAGTTCCTACGATGAAACTGCTAGCTTCATTTTGCTGCCTGTTTTATTTGCCTTCTAATGTTTTGTCCCTCTAGAAGTTTATTTTGTGATTACTTATTATTTTTCAGGTATGATCACAACCTAGCTCACATTGATTGCCACCAGAAAGCAGTTCTTACTGAACCTCAGCGCTGGGATAGCAGTGCTTTAGAATGTGGGCGACATCCTGCCTGTTTGTCATTAATTCCACAGTGTTAGAATTTCCCTTCATCCACAATGGAGATTTGTCTTTTAAGATTAGCTCTTTGGCGCCGGGCGGTGGTGGCACACGTCCTTAATCCCAGCACTTGGAAGGCAGATGCAGGCAGATCTCTGTGAGGAGTTCTAGGTCAACAAGAGCTAGTTCCAGGACAGGCTCCAAAGCCATAGAGAAACCCTGTAAGATTAGCTCTTTGTTTCATTTCTCTATTTTCTCTTCTGCAATGTGGGGACAAAATTCTAAGCAATAAAGCAGTATTTCTGAATGTGATGCCTCCTTGCCTTAAGCAAAGACCAGGAGTGTCCCCTACCCCCATTTCAGGACTTCATTCTTGAGGGATGTTAAATGACCACTTTGAGTACGTTGTAGATTAAACATCTTAGGTTCTCAATATGCTTTTATATGTATTTTCAACAAATAGAAAATTAGGCATTAAGTGACTAATTGGTAGGACAATATATTTTTGAAGTTGATTGACAAAGGTTTTTCAGAAGTTTGCTAGAGAGACAAATAGGTAGGCAAACAGATCTTGCTTCATCTTTGCCTCTGAATTCTTTTTTGTATTTCTTCTTTTGTATCTCTTCATAGGGACGCTACTTTATTTATTTGTTTGGTAGTTTAAAAGGGAACACTGGAAGGTCTTGTGAATTTATAGATATTTTTACTGCTTTGACTTCCTTGTCACTTTAAATATTTAAATTTTTAATCTTATATTGATTCCTATATGCAAAACTGAAGTATAGTTTGCAGGGAGGTTTTTCCTTCACTCTAGGATCCTGGCAGTGACCCTCTAGCAATGATGACGTAGAACAGAGATGACAACACTAGGCCTCAGACAGGACAGCGGCCCAGAGCAGAAGGGGATAGAAGACAGGGTTGATGAGAATCTTGACATTTTCGTTATTAATTGTATTTATTTACAAGCTGAAGAAATGGAAACCAAGGACGCTGAGTGGTAAATGTGGTTATACCAAGACGCCAGCCGCCGGCGTAGAAGGGCAAGAACAGCAGGAGAGGAAAGGGAACACTGATTTAGGTGGGGTTCTTCTTGCTGCCGGCCGTGCAGAAGGCACAGAGCCCACGGCCCCAGACCTGGAAAGGAGAAGATGGCAGCATTAGTGGAGGAGTCGTCAGCCAGAGCCCACGTCCCCCTCAGTACCCACACCTACCTGCATCCCTGCTGCCGCCACTCCCAGCCCTGGCATTTTCTGGCCCTTGGCACAACTGTTACAAGGCATTTAGGTTCACGTTCACTGCTTTTTAACTTTGCTGTATTACAGAAGAAATGAAACGGAAATTGGTTAAGGAAAATGGATTTACGTATAGCTTGACCCCAATCAGGGAAAGAACTTATTCTCCAGTGTGCCTGTGGCAATCTTATATTTTATAGGAGTTAACTAGAAAAGGACCTACTATAGAAAAGTAAGACAGGTTTACGGGGCTTTTTCCCGGGGTGAACACTATTAAGCTGGAGGCACAAAACTGACCCCCTCTCCCAGTTACATAGCCCAGGCTTGCTGTGAATGCTCCTCAATCCCGCTATCTAGGACCAACTGCAAAGCAGTGAAATCCTGACTTTTCTAGGGATGATCCTGTGGGTTAGGAGGGAGTGGGCTGGACAGAGAGGAACTTGCAGTTGGGAATGGCTTTAAGACAATCTCTGCCGTCATGCTTGGCCACTGTCTACCCATTGCTCTTCTATGTCAGCCACTGGGAGTAGGGCTGTGCTTTGCCAGGGTGGGGTATGATCTGCACAAAGTATGTTAACAGGCGTCACTTCCAGACCCAGGTCTCATGTGCTGGGTTACTTCAGGACTGAGTTGAACAGCGACTCTGGGAACTATTATTCCAGAGGGATAAATTCTAGTGCTGCAACACGCTGTGCCCTACACTGAGACTCAGCTCAGAGAGACACAGGAGAGAGTAAGTCAGAAGACAGAGTGAAACACGGAGGACAAAGGGACAGGGAAACCCCAAGGAGAGGGGAGAGGAAAGGGGCAGACTATGGGACACAAAGGAAATGGAGCAGCCCAGGCTTCCTAGTTGGGTCAGGAGAGGCTTCTGCTTCTCTGAAGCCTATTGTGATGAAGGCCAGACAGAGCTAGGATGCCTGCAGTGTGCCCTCCCACGCTACCCTTGAGACCAGCAATTCTAAACGCTTGGATTTCTCAGCTGCACAAAAGGCTTGTTGCACTAGATCGTGTTCCTTTCTGCTTCTTTGGGGCCCAAGTGCACATCAGGAGTTGTTCTTGAGGATGAACTTGTACCAACGTGGGAGCCCACATGTGACTCAGTTTCCATCTGGAGTCATTTCTGACTTAAAGAAGTCATTTGAGTTCAAGCTTGCCTGCTTTGTTTTTTTTTTTTTTCCATGAACCTTGAGGGCTATGAGTAACGTCTGTATTAGCTCTTAGAGCATTGTTGCCCAGATGAAAGAACACATTTTTTTTTCTATTAAGATTTGGGCTGGTGCATGACAGGCAGAGCACTCCTCGTTAGAGAATAGAAGCTGCTTAGCTGAATGAGTTAATGCACCTGTTTGAGCTGCCTCCCAAGGACAGTGCAGGGAGGTGGTTAGCTGACTGGACTGCTCTTTGTTTTGCCTTTTGCCTGTAGTATGTACACTCAGAAACTGAGAAATAAACTCGGGGCTGTTTGGTGTTGGCGTTTAGTCCTCCCAGTCTATCCTACGTTTCAGCCTTCATTTCTCTCAGTCTAACATTTCCTCAGCCTCTGTGCCCCCTCCCAGGGTACCCCCAGATGATTTCTGCCGGAGGGCTCTGACGCACCAGCCCATGTCTCAGCATTTCCTCAAAGCTTGTGGAACTGAGGTTAGTTGAATTTGGTACCTCTGGGGCTCTGGACTTAAGGACACATCAAGATCCAGGGAGGGATGCATGACATTTGGAACCCAGGATGAATTATTCTGCAACAACTGAAAACATATTCTCTGATTCCTCTGACTAGAATGTTTTCGCCATCATATTTGCCCTCATACTTCATATATCATTTAAAACATGTTGTGTAGTAAAAAAAAAAAAAAAAGGAGAATTGTTCTTACCCAGAAAGATAATTGTAGAAAATCCCATTGGGTCAGGTTGAACTGCTACTGCTGCACAGACAGGCCACTAGAATGCCAAAGAGAGGGCGCGGGAATAGGAGAGTGACAGCTGTCTCTCTTACATCTGGATGCCACTCTTGGGGACAGGGAGAAAAGGCTGGCCTTTTTATTTTAAGACTTTGGGTGCAGAACTGCACCCTCATCAAACTTGGAACTTCTGGCCCGAGTTGTTGAAAAGCTCCTAAAACACAGCACAGACCTTTTTCACCGTTCATGGTCTACTATTCAAGCTCTTCCTATTGCCCTCTATGTCTTGTCCAAAAAAGGTATTTCGACTCCAGCCTTTACATTTGCATTCAAACAGAAAAAATATAAAGAATGAACCAAAAAAGAGTGCTCTTGCTCTGGGGTGCTGGAGAGATGGCTCTGTAGTTTAGAACAGATACTTGCTTTTGCAGGGGAACCAAGTTCAGTTTCTTGCTTGTACTCCAGGCAGCAACCACTCGCCTGTAACTCCAGCTCCAGAGGGATCTGATGACCCTGGCTGCCAAGGATTCGTACACGCATGCCTTTGCAAACACACACACACACACACACACACACACACACACACACACACACAATTTAAAGGTTTTTTTTTTTTTCCTATGTGCATTGTCTCTGTAAGCCTGTATGTGAACCATGTGTGTGCAGTGCCTGTAGAAGCCAGAAGGTGGAGTCAGATCCTTTTGAACTGGAGTTGAAGAAGGTGGTGAGGCTTTTGGGGACTGAGCCAGGGATTGCTGCAAGAATAGCAAGTGCTTTTAACTATGGAGACGGTTCTCCAGCCATCAAATACTTTTTGAAATGTAAGGTCTCTGACCTTGCCAACTATCTCAAGGCTGGAAGTCAGACACACTGCCTCACGTGGCTGCAAGACAGGCCAGGAAGCAGATGAATAAGAAGGATAGACAGGAACGGTGACTCAACAGAAGGCTGGATGCCTGGTCGGGGATGAGTGGATGGATGGATGCGTGGATTGCTGGCTGGTGGCTGGATAATGGATGACAGGTACTGTTTGACTTTGGTTTGGTTTGA